AGGAATGCCAACTCCCCAGATCTACAAGCTGATAAGTGTGACTTATTATGTAGGATTATTATAGCAATAGCTAACTGACATGTGATAATCACGATTAAAGAATAGAAACCAAGGAAGGGTACGTTATTCCCATTCCAAAGGGATTTTTTAAAACTGTCTAGAAGGTATAAGTATTAGTCAGTTCTTTCTTTAAAGGCATTATTTCTTAAAATTGTATTCATAAGATAAGAATAATATCAGTAAATATTAACTTGCATTTTATAATCTAGTTTGGTCTTAACCATGAAACTGAAAAACTAGCTGAAATGCTCTTTTATAGCCATTGTACAGAAGAGGTAAACTAGGCTGGCCTCTTAGCACAGTGGTTAAGAGCTGTGCAAAGACAGTGGATCCCACATGGCCTACCACAGTTTGAATCCCAGCCCCAGTGACAACATGCCAGGGACATGTTTACAGGTGTCCATGTAAGATGGAGAAATGTAGGAAAAAGGACTGCAACATCATCAGGGCTTCATAGGGGATTCTCTCTCTCTCTCTTTCTCTCTCTCTCTCCCTGTCTTTAGTACACATAAACATGCATTCTCTGGCATACACACAAAAAAGATGTATGTAGTTAAGTAAATAAATACAAAATAAATTCTACAGAATCAGATAATATTCCATTGATGCTTCCTTAGGGAAAAAAATCCAAGTCTACCTCTCCTCAAAAGTATTTTTAAAAAGGGACCAGCAGTTAGCGTAATGGCTATGTCGCTGGACTCCCATGTAGTCGACTGTGGTTCGAGTCCTGGACCCAGTGGCTTAAAACTCATGCTGGGCGTGTGTGTATGCGTGTGTGCCCAAGATCACAAGAGGAGAATGAAGGAGAAGGGACTGCGGTGTGGCGATCCCCCCTGGGGGGTAATTTCTTGCTTTCTCTCTTTCTGTGTCTCTCTCTCTGTCTGGCGAGTGCACACACCCTACAGCAAAAACCTCTCCAAAAAAAAAAAATGTATTTAAAAAAAAAAGTAGACCTTCTGATCCTATATAATCAAAATTCATATTTCTTCTTCTAAATGGTACACATAAAACTCTTATATAATTAATAATATTAACACAACTAAATTTGTTGATAATTCAATTTGAAATGAAGCATCAAAAATGACTGTGATTCTTAAAAATGTATATTTGCTTATTAATGTAGTAAGTTTACCAAAAGAGGAAACCTTTAACACCATTATACTCTGAATACAACTGGCTCCCCAGAAGAAAAAGAACATGCCTCTCATTCATCTCTGAAAGCAGACTGGACACTGCAACAATTCACATGGGATCTGCATCTCAAATCAAGGCCAGAGGTTTGGATTCCACGCTATTTATCATGCTTGTTAATTTTTTAATACAAAGGCATTTCATCTTTGAAAGATGACACTACTCACAAAATTTTTCATGAAACTTCTGACAAGAACCAGCTGTACTGGGACAAACAAAAATTCCTTGAGAGATAAATGGACCCTTTGGGAAATGGATTAACTCTTTTAATACCACCAGAATACCAAAATGTAAATTATTTCTCTATACCACTGGGACCATGAAATAAACATGTTTGGTATAGCACAGACACCAAATCAAGACGTCTGCATTAAAAAGTATGTCACGCTAGGCTAAGGGCGAACATTAACTTATACTGAAAATAACCCCTCTTCCCCCAAGAAAATACTATGTAGAATTTAAACTTTTCAGGGACCATGATGTCATAGTTACGTCGCTGGACTCCCATGTAGTTAACTGGAGTTCGAGTCCCAGACCTGGCGGCTTAAAACTCACGCGGGCGCCTGTGCGTGCATGCCCAGTGTCCTGAGAGGAGAATGGAGGTAAAGGAATTGTGGCATGGCCACACACACCCCACCCCTCCTTGTTGGAGGAGGTGGTGATTTCCGCTTTCTGTCTCTCTGGTGAGTCCGCGCACCCTATAGCAAAAATTTTCTCTAAAGAAACCATATATTAAAAAAAAAAAAAAAAAAAAGAATTTAAACTTTTCAGAATTTCTTAATTAAGGAAATTTTTTTGTTCAAATTAACTCAAACCCACTAGTTGATATGCTTCTCAGGTTAATGTATGTCTGTGATAAAAAATTCCCAATTAGTGGAAGATGGAGATTATAGAAGCCAATACTTATAAGCCATGTATGATACTACAATCCAGTTTCATCAGATTCTACCAATATCCACTCAGAAAAATTAGTTACAACTTGTTTTTTATAAGCTTTTGCTATAGGGCACGTGTGTTCACCAGAAAATGACAGAGAACGCGAAAGTGATAAATCGACTGCCGGGGGAATGGCCACACCGCAATCCCTTATGCTCCATTGTCTCAGGGTTCTGGGGATACACACACACATGCCTAGCATGATTCGCAAGCTGCCAGATCAGGACTCAGACTGCAAAGTTGTCTTGTCAGATCCAGCACCTTAACTTTTATGTCTCCTGCTGGCCTGGTTATAATACAACTTTTAAGGATCCTTCATTCTCAGTCTTTCACTATTGCTTAGAGAAGTATCCATCCAGCATGGTGTTAACTAAACCCAAAGAAAGTTGCCTAATGCATATGTGTTAATTAATTAATATGCACAAAATGAAATGAAAGTATTTCTTTAATAGTTATTCCATCATAGACTCTCATGAGAGTATGGGAAAAAAACTGAAGGCCTATGTGGGACTGAAAAAGCTGTCAATTCTCTCCCTCACTTCTTCCCTACTTGGAGCTGTATTTCTTGAGGATGGCATCCAAAAGGCCAACGAGCTCTTCAGCATTGATGAACTTCTGAGTGCTGAGGGTATACATCTTCTCATAGAAGTCTGCAATCTCCATCCGAGCCTGAACAAAGAAGCAGAGCTGCTCGCAGAGGTGGGAAAGGAGTTCTTCCACGTGAGGTACAGTCCCACCCAGGGCGCCGCGGCCAGTTACCACCTTCTTCAGCTCATTATGCAGGGAAGTATAGATGGTGCGGATGGAATCCTTCCTGCTTTTTTTTTGACTGGCCCCCTGGTAGGCAAATGACAGAAGCACATGACAGGTAAGGAAGAGAACCCAAAAGTACCAAACACCTTCCAGCATCCAAAAGTCTAATTTGGATTTGTGGGGCTAACTGAGTTTTCGTCTACCATATTCTCTGATTCCCATGATGGGGATATAAATACTTTGTAACTTGGGGCCAGTAGGGCATGATGGTTAACCACACAGCACACCAAGGTTTGGGTCCCAGACCTCCTAGAGGTTTGCTTTCTCACTTTCCTTCTCTCTCTGGTCAATATTTTAATAATAACCAAAATTAAATAATGATTAAAAAAATACTTTGTAATTCATAATTTCACTGAGGAAGAAGTTAAATAACACCTGGTTCAACTCATTAGTGGAGCAATGGGCCTGTGTATGACTTTCTAACCCATGCGCCAATTCCCTACCTCCCCCTTCAGTAAAGATTCAGATGCATTTCAGAGCACAGTTAACCTTACAAATGATGTCAACTTAGATCTAAAAAGTCCTCCTTTCATGTAACTATACTTAAAACAGATCACATTATGAAACACTGTTGTTATTCCTGGCAAATCAGAATTTTTTGCTTCTGCTTTAGACTTGTATTTTCTTTTAAATCTTATCTTTTAGGCTATACCAGAAAACAGAACACACACACACACATATATATCCCTCTTATGAAAGAACATAGATTACTGGGATCCCAGGGGAAAGAAAAATCTTAAGCACTTTTGATGAGGTCGACACTAAAGGGGATAATATAATAAGCACCACATGATGAATGATTAAAACCAGGAACCAATGATAAATAACTGCTACTGTTAACTCAGGGATTCCAAAAGCAGCAGGAAAATATCCTTCACGACAATCAAAAAAGCATCAAGTAACATAAACGGCGTTTACTTACTTCTGTATTTATACATGATCAACTACATTTCTAATTATAGAGCTGGCTTACTGGATATTTTCTTAAATAACTCTATACCCCACCAAAGGGCCAAGATAGTAGTAGAATGAAAAGAAACAGAGAAGTTTAAAACAGTGTGGTTCCTAGGAATATATCAAAATCTCAGAGTTAGGTAAGAGTTTAAATTTTCTACTGAAAAACCAGAATGCTTTAATGAATGAATTTATTACTATCCTAAACATATTAGTTTATCAAGGCATTTGGAAAATATCTTCTTCATAAATGAACCACTTCACAATATTATTATTAGTTCACTGTTCAGTATATGTTACAAGAAATCAATCTAGGGTCTGGACGATGGTGCAGCAGTAGAGTGTGACACTGTGAGGCTGACTCACATGGAAAGGTTCCAGGTTCACATCTGTAGGCCTCCCTACGTAGGATAGGAATGTGCATGCCCATGATCCAGGGTTGACTGAAGCTGAGAGTGGATTGTGGTGTAGGAAGCCTGTTCAGAGTGCCTGTCTCTGTCACTCATGGAAGAGAGAGATAAATAAACTTAAAAAAAAAAAAAGTTGGGACCAGCAGGTGGTGTGGTGATTAAGGCGCTGGGTACTCCCACATGGCTGACCAGGGTTCAAGTCCTGAATCTGGTGGCTTGCTTTCTCACTTTCTTTCTCTCTCACTCTCAACCTCTGTCTTTCTCTGGTCAAATTTAAAAAATAATAATAATAATAATAAATGAATGAATAAATAATTATTAAAAAAAAAAAGTTGTTTCTGGCAATAAAAACAAAAAAGAAATTGAAAATAAATGAAAAGTCTGTTACAACTAGGGTAACCAACTTTTCCCAGTTTACCCAGAACTTTTCATGATTTATCACTAAAAGTTTGGCTTTTCAGAAAACCCTAAGACCAGATTTTAAACAAAGTTCCATGTTTTAGGAAACTCTTGGCTGTGGGAAAAGCTGATATATGTCATCCTACTTACTACCGACTCCCCAGACTAGTAATACTTAACAAGTGTTTTCTCCAATATACTACCTAAACAGATTGAGCAGCATTCACATAATTTCTCCTAACAGCAGCAAAATCCATATGGCACAGGTGGACCTATCGTGACAAACATCCCATAAAGGACTGCTACCACGGAGGGTCTGACTTTCTCCTGTGCCCGTATTCAGTTTCATTTTTATTCTGTAGTGTGAAGGTTACAGAATAACTAGGCCTCTGTGCCCAAGCATAGGACAAAAGCTTTAAGGTTAGGAAATTAATATGAGTATCATATAAAACCTAGAAGCTCTGGAAATCTGAAAAACTTCCAAGCCCAGCTCTGAAATGTACAAGGTATACAGCTGTGTCCTTAACATAAACTAGCAGGGCCAGACAGTGGCACAGCAGTAAAATGTGAGCTCCGGAAGGCATCTGCACACCAGAGAGTTGTGGTTTTAAGTCTGAAGACCTGCCAGGGTACACACGGGTTGGCTGGCTGAGGGCTGGGAGTGGATCATGGCGTGAGGAACCTGTCACGTAGCTGTTTCTCTCTTTTTTTGCTTATGGAAGAAATAAACTTTTAAAAAGAAACCGTTAAAGACTACTAATAGCACTGCTGAGAAGAAAAAATTAAGTAACATTTAGTGTGTGATGTGCCTGGACCAAAGCACATTATCACTAATGCTAATTTCTTTCCCTTCCACTTAGAACTGATATAAGAAAATTTCCAGGGCCAGCAGTTGGTGTAATCACTATGTCGCCGAACTCCCATGTAGTCGACCATGGTTTGAGTCCCGGACCTGGTGGCTTCAACTCACACCAGGTGTGTGCATGTCCAAGATCGCGAGAGGAAAATGGAGGAGAAGGGATTGCGGTGTGGTCATCCCCCCGGGGGTGATTTCTTGCTTTCTGTCTCTCTGTCTCTTTCTGGGTAGCGCATGTGTCCTATAGCAAAAACCTCTCCAAAAAAACAAAAATAAAATAAAATAAAAACAAAAAACTGCCAACAGTACATAAAGGAGCTCTATTGTAACTTGAGAGCTCTAGGTACTATACAAAATACTTTTCTGACAGAGAGCTAGATGACCTCAATTGTGTACTCACTTCTACTATTAAGCAGGGTGACCTTGGTGAAAAGTTTAACTTCCCGTTAAAAAAGAGATGCCTACATTCATCAAATTGTCCTTGGGGAGGGGCGAGAACAATACATAAATACAAAGAATACCTTTTAAGAGTTTATCAATAAACACCAATCACTAGCCTGTGAAACCAAATAAAATGGAAGCACAGTAAGGAAAAGACCACCAGCACGTTTCTTTAAAACAGGTCTCTCTTCTCAAAGCTCTCAGGAACACAATTTTATCTTTTGACTACCCTGCTTCAGGATATCCAACAGGGACTGCTTTCCATTCATGCTAAGAAACAAATAAGCAGAAACACTGGCTTTTTTCTTTTGTCAATATTTGAAATTTATAAAATATGATTATTTTGAATTATTTCCTGAAGGTTCTAGGTATAAATACTCATTATTTCCCAAGATTTCAATAATTTGTCCCACATCATAAAATTTCAAGTATATTAAAAGAACATATACAATGTCTTGAGCATTTTATTCTAGAACTTCTTGCTAATGTTAATTTATAAACAATAGTTCTCAAATTAACATTTCCCAATAAGTAAAATTTTAGCAACCAGAAGTTTTGGAAGCTCTTCGATAATGAAATAAAGCAAAGTATGACTTCCTAAAGCTCTCCATAGGTATTGAGTCAGCATATTTTAATCACTGATCCTTCCCCAAACAAGTACTGTTCTCCCCTCAAAGAAAAAAAGGCTCCAAGAAAAGAACCCTGCCCAAGGTTTTCCAAGTCTGTATTTTGTCTAAAGGCCCACACTTGCATTTACAAACAGGAGTCACTATTAAGGTCTCAGATACACATTGGCTACACAGCTGAGGACAAAAAGACTTACTTTTTACTTGAAATTTGCTTAAGAGGGCAGTTTAGGGTGTTTTTTTTTACAGACTGAGTCTGCCTATACCAGACTGGCCTTGAACTCACTACCCTCTTGCCTCAGCATGGGACTCCAAGTGCTACCAGGACAGAAGGAAGGAGATAACTATGTGAGGTCACAGATACATTAATTGGTTCGACTGTAGTTACTATTTCACAATGTGTATGTATATCAAAACATCAAGCTGTATACCTTAAATAGATACCATTTTAATTCGTCATTTATACCTTGAGAAAGCTGGAGAAAGACACCTTAGAACTTGTTTTAAATTTTTTAAGGTGCGAATAACTTTTTGTTTGCTTTTTAAAGAAAACCATACAAATGTTCTAGTTACCAAAGAGGCTGGAAGGCATGGGAAAAAAAAAAATTTTTTTTTGAGAGGTTTTTGCTCTAGGGCACGTGCGCTCACCAGAAAGACAGAGACAGAAAGCGAGAAATCACCCCCCAGGGGGATGGCCACGCTGCAGTCCCTTCTCCTCCATTCTCCTCTCGGGATCTTGGGTATCCGGTATGAGTTTAAGCTACCGGGTCCGGACTTGAACTATAGTGGACTACATGGGAGTCCAGCAACATAGCCATTAACGCTAACTGCTGGTCCCCCCTGACATGGAAATGTTTTAAAGGGCAACACAAAAGCTTTTTCCTAGGTCTTCAAGAAAGTGGTCCACTTTACAGTCATGAAATCATACCATAAGCACAAGAATATCACTTATGTTCCAGTACGACGAAACCGTAGATGTTCACGAAATTGAAATCGAAATGCAGGAATTTAGGTTTGCTGTACATGTAAATAAGTCATGAGGCACCAGAGTTGAACATGCCATTTTCAGAACATTTTACTGAGAGGTGAGATCACCAGGGAGTCTCACGGCACCTGAGCATGTTCACAGTGTGAAGTGTTGCGTGAGCCAATTTCAAGTCAGAGCTCCCCAGCTCGCCCATGCCAGCTGGGGTTTAAACAAAACTAATCCCGTTCCACCATGATGGCCACTTCACAGAGCCTATCAGTGCCAATCTTATACATGTATTCTTACATACAAGGGAGCCAGTGCTATTTACATAAGTACATGGCTGACAGAGTTTATTTTAAAAATGAAATCCATTAACATGGTTTAGGAAATCCAGTTGAATGTTCTTGGATTATATGCAAAATTGTGTGCATACATATATTTAAGTCCAGCTTTCATCTAATTTCCATGAATGAGTTAAGAAGAGTCATGGCAACGGGTCAACCTTTATAAGATGGAGGAGTCTAAAAACAACCAAAACTATTATCTGCCTTCAATTTTACACCTAGAATATTCCTCATTTTCATACATATATTTAACTTATTACATGTAAATTATAATATATGTACACATTTTAAACAAATTATATAGATATAGACTCAGTTCAAAGTCAGATATTCTGATCTGGGCCCCATCATTACCCACACAACTGTATATAGGAGGGGTTTTTTTTTGAAGTTCATGAAAAATGTATATTATGAAATATGCATGGATTTCAAAAAAGTTTTGCACCAAAATAAACACATACTTTAATTCCATTTTTCCTCAAACTTTTTGAAGTCCTCTCATACAACTTGCTAATCTGTAGAAAACTAATATCATGACAGCAATTTCAAATTTGTGAGACATGCCACTATAAATAAAGGAGAGAAATACAAAAGGTAGAACTATCTGATCCGTTTTTGCCAGTAAGTCAGCATAATAAATGAGTTATTATCTGAATAGCTATGGCAGATGTTAGGATCTCAAAAAACCCTGTCCCTTGAGTGTTTACTGAAAGCTCAATATACATACACGGTCACTTTCAGGCCATATAAGGAAACAGATGAAAAATCAAAATGGAATCTACACCCGACTTTATCTTCCATATTGCATACATGTGTCCATTCACACCAGACTCCATGCCTCTAATAATCTGAGGGTCTAACATAGGTCAAAGAACTAAAAAGACTAACACACGTACTAGCTGTCATTCTTGCTGTAGATAGTAAGTCTGTGTGCATAGCTTTTACATCTGTAATATTTCCGCCTCATCTTCTCAATACTAATTGTTTACAACCCTAATTGTTTCTACTAGTGAAAATCAGTTTAATCAGCTCTTGCATCTTATTTTCGGGGGAACGATTTTCATGGGGTGCTTTTGAGTGTTTACAGTTTTTCTCTCAAGTCACCTCTTAACTAGTATTAGGCATCTTTTTTGCCTTTCCTTCCCAGGATTCATTTACTCCTTCCTTCATTATGTATGGACGAGCTAAGAAAGGGGGCTAGGACTCCATCTGTAACTCAGGGGCTTTGCAACTAGGCTGTATCGCCAAATTCTGCTCCTCTAGCCGCAGTGTCACTCGTTAAGACACACAGCTGGTTAGCTTCTCTTTTACAGAACTAAACCATGAACGAGGCAAAATGGTAAACCCATCGATTTGGGGCACAGTCCTGCAAGAGCAGCCGCCCGATCAGCCAATCTATCTGCAGCGCAAGCCGGTGGGCGGGACTTGTGGAAGCCTAGGGAAGGAAGGGAACGGTGGGAGGAGATCCGGGAAGCCCAGTGGAGCCTGCAGCTAGGAGTGACACAGACACAGGAAACCCAAGCCAGTGCTGACCGTGGAATACACCCCCTTTCCTTCCTCCTCAAAGGGCACGGGGGCGGGGCGGAGGTACCTAGTTTCTGCCCCAGATAGGTGAGGCTGTGATAGACCTTCTCGGCCGCGGCCAGGTGCGCCAAGGCCGCCAGCAGCGACAGCCAGCTGCCCCCAGCGCTCTTGTTGGCCTCGCGTTCCTTCTCCACATTGTCCTTGGCCTTGTCGTATGAGAAGATACCCAGGTGAGAAAAGAACGTCTCCAGCACCGCCTGTTCCACCGGGACCGGGGCTGCCAGCGGGATAGACTCCCCCATGCGAGCTGCGCTCCAGCTCGACCCACGTGGCTCTCCTCTCCCTCGCACTTCCGGGTTCTGAGGGGACGAGCGTGCGCACAAGCGTGCGTGCGCGTGACCGCCTCAAGCGGCGAGCTCGTGAGCGCGCAGCCGCCGGGACCGCTCTGGGCCTCAGAGAAGATGCGGGTGAAGGCCAAGGGCGGAGGCTGGCAGCGGCTCCTGAGCTCCTTCGGCGCTTTCGATCCTGCGGCTAAGACTATTCGAACCCTCAGGGTACGACGGGAAGCGGCCAATTCGCTGCTCCATAGAGCTGACTGCGTTCAGAGGTGAGCTGCGAGGCCCCTCCCTGGGAGTCTGCGTAGGTGCTGGTGACGTCACGTTCGTGTGACGTCAGGAGAACATCTGACCTGGACTGGAGTGCCCCATGCCTGGAATTGTGCTCACTCTTGCAAGGATTCTGGTTGGTCCGTACAGCTTTCAACCAACCTCAACTAATGGTTTATAGGCTAGAAGCCTAACAAATTGTCTCATTTCCAACCGGCACACACCATCACTAACTCTCACCTCTATCCCATTCTAGTCATCTCAGCCGTGACCTGAGACAACCAAGCAGACCTTTTGGACGCACCTCTTGAGCTTGCCCATCTTAACCAAACTATTAAACTTCCTTGGATGAGTCATAAATTAATGTGAATTAATGCAGTATGTTATTCAGATCGTCTCTGGTATTTAGGAGACACCAGAAACCCAGCTCCGGTGTGTATGTCCACTGCTTTGAAACACTGCCCACTGCCGGTTACTCGTTTCCTTTCTCCTCCTTTGTTAAGGCTTATTTTATGATACAGTTTCATCATGTACGTTTATGAGTCTTTTTCCCCTACTAAGTGGTGAATTCCCTAGGGCAGAGACTAGGGTTCACTTATCATTGTAATCTTTTTTTTTTTTTTTTTTTGGAGAGGTTTTTGTTATAGGGCGCGTGCGCTTGCCAGACAGAGAGAGAGAAAGCGAGAGCCAGAGAGATAGAAAGCGAGAAATCCCCCCCCCCCCTAGGGGGGATGGCCACGGCCTCAATCCCTTCTCCTCCATTCTCCTCTGGGGATCTTGGGCGTGCACTCAAATGCACTCAGCGTGAGTTTTAAGCCACCAGGTTCGGGACGCGAACCGCAGTCTCTACATGGGAGTCCAGCCACATAGCCATTACCCTAACTGCTGGTCCCCCATTGTAATCTTTTCGTCATGGACCGCAAGGTGACTTTGCTGAATAATTGAGGGAATTTCCCATTTCCTTTTTTCCCTGACTTACACTGTTCTGCATATCTACCTACCCATGCAAATCCCACCAATCTAATGAATAGATATTGTACACTTGTTCCCTGTCTTCTGGAATGCATGAATTGCATCAGACCAACCCTGATAACTGTGATAGAAGGGAGAATTTTATATGTAATAGAGGTCAAAAGGGGAGAGGAAGCAATCTTTTTGGAAGAATCAGAAAAGATTCTTGGAGAATAATGTGATGGTTCTTGTTAAATGAATAAAAGTTAGTAATTAAAAAAAAAAAGGTGTGGTACTAACTCCAAAACCAACAAACAGTGAAAGTATTTACAAAGCTCATAAACATATCCAAGTAATATAAGAATTCCTTAGATAATAAAGGTAGCATCATAAATCAGAGATGAATAGTGGAGATATGATTATTAACCTAATATGTAAAAAAATTGACACCTCATTTTCTGCAGCAAAACAAAATACTTAAAAGTGTAAAACACAAAACCATAAGCAAACTAGAAGAAACTGAGGTGAATATTTAAGTGACCTAGAAATGAGAAGACTCTTCTAATTATTTAAAAAAGGAATTGGAAGAATTTGCAAAGAAAGAAATTGACTTGACTGTTAAAAATATTAAATTCTTAAGTGCAAAGAAAACCTGATGCTAACCCAAGAAAAAATGTTTGTACTGTACAATAGACAAAGGTTCAATCTTTGACAGCGAGATCCCTTACTAACTTGTAAGGATAAAAAACATGAATATATGTATCGCCAAAATTTAAAATGCTAATAATTGTTATTTTAGTGCCTCACTTCACTACTAATCAAAAATGCTGATTAAGATACTGTATTCTATTTTCAGCTATGAAATTACAATAAAATTTTTAAATAATTATTTTTATTTAATTTTTTTTTTTTTTTTTCTGTTTTTGCTCACCAGCAAGAAGGGGTCAGGGGATGAGAAATCAAGCTTCCAGGTCTCAGACTCGAACTGCGGTTGGCCATGTGGGAGTCCAGTGCCTTAGTCACCACAAAAAAAGTGCTACTTGCCCCCACCAAGATCTTTTTACAAATGCTGATCCTGCAGTGACTGTTTTTATCTGCTGCCTATGTGAGTGTAACTTGTTAATACCTTTCTGGAAAACATTTGGAATATAAAACAGGAATAATGTAAGTGTATGTAAATGTCTAAGTACTGCATCTAAGACAAAGAAGATGCTTAATAAATGTTACTGGGATCAGCAGCTGGCATAATGGCTACACTGCTGGACTCCCACATTGACCAAGATCAAGTCCCAGACCCAGCAGTTTAAAACTCAAGCTAGATGCAGGTGAGTGTGTATATATGCCCAGAATCCTGAGAGGAAATGGAGGAGAAGGGATTGTGGCATGGCCATCTGCTCCAGGGTGGGTCTGATTTTTCACTTTCTTTCTCTGTTTCTCTCCAGTGAGCACACGCACCCTATAGCAAAAATCTCTCTCTAAAAAAACTTTTTAAAATAAACATTGTTACTATTATTATTACTATTGTTACTTTCACTATTGTTACTATTATTGTTATTTTATTATACCTTTTATTCAAGCACTGAGAATACTTTTTATTATTTTTAGTTACTACATCCATCATCTCATATAGATACTTTTTTTGTGTATGTGGTAAGAAACTTAAGATCAATTCTCTTAGGGAATTTCAGGTATACAATATCAATGATTAACTACAGTCACCATGACATACATTAGATCACCTGAACTTAGTCATCTTATAACTGAAAGTTGTAGCTTTCGACCTATATATCCCCATTTCCCCCACCACCCCCAGTCCCAGCAAGCATCATTCTGTTGGCTGCTTCTATGAGTTTGACTTTTTTAGATTCTACAACCAGTGAGATCATTCAGTATTTGTTTTTCTGTTCTGATTTATTTCACCTAGCAATGTCCTCCAGGTTCATCCATGTCACATATGGCAATATTTACTTCTTAAAAAAAATATTGTGAAAGGGCAGGGAGGAGAAAAAAGCACCCCTCCCATGGGATATGATCATGCCACAATCCCTTCTCCTCATTTCTCCATCCTGTCAGGTTTTGGGGTGTTTGCACATACACCCAGCTTATTTTTCAAGCCACTGGGTCCAGGACATGAACCACATGATTGGCCTTAACTACTCAGCTCCCTTAACCACTCAGCCACAGGGCCAGTTCTCTACATCAAATTTAAAAGGAAAACACTGTGTGTGTGTATAATATAAATGTTATATATATTTATATATAATATACATACACACACACATATTGCTCAATAAATTTACTTAGAATTATTTTGTATTTACAAGGAAGCTTGTGTTAGGACCAGCAGATGGCATAATAGTTACGTCACTGAACTCCATGTAGTCAACCGTGGTTAAAGTCCCTGACTTTGTGGCTTAAAACTCACACCAGGGGGGTGTGTGTGTGTGTGTGTGTGTGTGTGTGCCCAAAATCCTAAGAGATGAATGGAGAAGAAGGGATATGGCATTGCTATTCCCCCTGGGGGTGATTTCTCACTTTCTGTCTCTGTCTCGCCAGTGAACACATATACCTTATAGCAAAAAAAAAAATCTCGAAAGAAAGAGAGAAGCTTGTGCTTGTGTATTGTGTACAAATTGCTTTCTAAATACACACACACAAAAGTTTGGGTAAACTTATTGAGTACTTAGTGAATTTCAGGAATTGTAGTGAGTGCTTTATATGAATTAGCTCATTTAATCCTTAGGATAATGCAGTATTCATTATGGAAAATTTTGAAAAAATAAAAATAGAAAACCACCCTCTATTCCCAGACCCAGACATAGTCACCGTTGACGTTTTTAGTGGATGCCGGGGTACACTACCTGTATCACAAGATACAGATGCCAGGAACGCTGACTACTGATGGGTCACAGTTGAATTCCTCTTCAAAATTGCCTTCTGTGAAGGAAACTGCCTCACCCAAGGTTATATTCCCTCCCTAGGACAGTCCAAATCCAGTAACTGTCCAATCGTAGAGGAGCAAAGGCACAATCCCTCCATTAGGACAATTTGGGACATCCAGCTTTAGAGTTTCTGGTGAGACCAGTTAAAGCCTCTGTGGCAGGTGCCCTGCAATTCCCTCCCTCTGCCCGTTCCTGCTTTTCTTACAGATGCTGTTCCTGAGAAAACCCACCTGAAGTCAACATTTTGTGACTGTAAGTTCCCACTTTTAATATTTGTATATCTATTATATATATATATATATATGTGTACATATATATATGTATACTTGTGTGTATGTGTGTGTGTATATATATATTTTTTTTAAATCTAGATTTATGTTACCAACAAATTTGAAACTTTTGTGTAAGTTAATTTTTTAGTTGATAATATTCTATAATGATTTGATTTTGCATGTAACCTAGTATCTTTTCAGAGCAGAATTTTTAACAGCCACCTGGGATTCATATGTACATCCTAGGACTATGATGTATGAGCTATGGTGTATTGTTGTAGATTGATAACTTGTATTGTTGGATATTGGTATTTCCTGGTTTTCACTGTGGCAGATCCTAAAACTTAGTAGACACACAAAAAGTATTTACTATCTGGGCTATTTACAGAAAATTTTTGCTGGTTTGATCTCCAAAAACCATATTATTCCAAGCACATTTTACCTTTTTGTATTCTGTTGGTATGTGAGGTGCAAGAAATAGAAGTGCTCAAACTTTGGTCCACAAAAAGGGTTTGAATACAGAAGAGAGTCACGATGATATGTGCCTATAGTCCCAGCTACTTAGGAGGCTGAGGCAGGAAGATCACAACAGAGTAAGGCCCTTTCTAAAAAACAACCCCTGCTGGGAACCAGCAGTTAGCATAATGGCTATGTCGCTGGACTCCCACGTAATCGACCGCGGTTCACGTCCTGGACCTGGTGGCTTAAGACTCAAGCCGGGCGCGTGTGTGTGCATGCCCAAGATCCCAATAGGAGAATGGAGGAGAAGGGATTGCAGCGTGCCAATCACCACACGGGGTGATTTCTCGCTTTCTGTCTCTAAGTCTCTGTCTGTCTGGCAAACGCACGCAACCTATAGCAAAAAAAAAAACCTCTCCAAAAAAAGAAAAATTATAATCTGAAAAAATTGGTGGATATCAATCATTGGTCCAGTTAGACATAGGCAAACTTGTAAATAACAAGTTTGGTGCAGACGTGGCAGCTCCTCCAGCAGACCACCAGCAGTCTTGCCTAAGGAATCATTTCCAGAGGCCTGCTAAGTGATCATTTCTTTAGTCTTTCTGATAATTTTGTAAGCTCCTGATACCTTGTATTAA